ATATAACAGTTACAGTAATTATTAGCGAGATATTTGTATGTTAATGAAAACTCAATTTTCTTCACCTCTTGCACATCGGGCCAAATTCGACAAACTTGTGCGCTTTCGCTTTTACTCACATATACCATCATATTTGCCTAAAGAGCTACCAGTATTCTATTCGTAGATTTTACAATGTATGTGTGAATTTTCATGTTTCAAAGTTGTTTAGTTATGACGATATCAATGAATTCTCTGGCAACAATGCAGCATCACTTAACTGGATTTGTTTCTCTGTATGGAATATATTTGCCAGCTGAATAGCGATCCTGATAGAGAGCTTATTCAAGGGAGCGCTTTATTGATATATTTGGACACATTCAACGTATGTATATATATTGTACTGGTATATCTTGTTTTGAGAGAACTTATTACGAAAGCATATTTGGAATATCTCCAATCACAAGTTACAGCTTTCAGAAATTTGTCATGTGCAAGAGTTTCTCTAACTCTGAGTTGTCTCAACTGTCTAACGTTGACCACTGCAAATGTTATTGACATCATGACCCAAATCGACTTGAACTACTCTTTTTGTTCAGTCTGAGCGTTCGGTAACCTGTTCTAATTCCGCGAAATTCCAAACTGTTAAAAGTTCTTCACAACTTTTCAAAATCTGACTTAAATTAGTGATACTTAACATTTTCCGATGAAAGAGTCGGATGCTCCTAAACCCCACATAAATCAACGTCCCCTAACTTTCCACCCGTACAGACATAGGTTTTCTTTCCATTAACACACATTTTTTAAGTGTTAACCTGTTTTAGGTCAGTTTTAGCAATCCTGTCCTGCATTTGCAAGAAGGTACAAGTTGGTTGTCTTCAAGAGGACCTTTCATTCTGTCCAGAACAGTCCTATCAGGAACTGCGAAGTTTATTTTGGAATCATTAGGAACATACACACCACTAGGTACTTTTCCCTCTGTCACTGTGCCGGTGTTTTTCAGCCCAATGTCTCCAAAAACACTTTGTAATGTCACTGTATCTCATCAGTACCCTGTTGTGGAGTGAATACCCCGATACCACTTCAGAAAACAGCATGAGCATAATATTGTCCAAAGGGAAATGAATTTGGAAGCAACCAATGGAGTGTAAATTTAAGAAAACAGAGCGTCCTTAAGTTATTTTAGACTAGTGGAAGCAATTCTATCATTTCTTTCACAGAACCTCCATTAAAACTCCCACATGTCGACGAGGTCCGAGTGCTAGCTTCATGCAAGGAAAATGTGTTTGTATTTCTATCTAGTTCCTCTGTTAACTCATTCATTGACAAGGCTTGCATCTGGCCAAACACACCCTCCTTCATATCACATTTAGACTTTTTCTTAAGGGGAATGAATACTTCAGTTTGAAATTTTGGGTTTGAAGAAAAAAAAATTAAGATAAGATATTAGAATTTGTATTTTAATTCACTGGATGGGTGATTGATAATACAGTGGTCACTGATAATGTTGAAAGAATTTTCCAAAAATCAGAATAATAGCAAACTGAAGTGTTCATTTAGTCGACCTGTGTTGAATTTAGAAGTAAGAGAAAATGATGCAAAATATATAATTAGGACCTTCAATTATCTAGATATGATAGCATGAACTAACTAGAAGCCGTACAGTGATTAGTTTTGAAAGCACTATCAACCAACTGTATTAATAATAATAATAATAATAATAATGCACATTTATAATGCGCCTTTTCCACGCCCTTGGGTATGCTCAAAGCGCTACAAAGATGAAGATGGATGAAGTGATGAGAAGTATACTGAGAAAAGGTGGGTTTTCAGTTTTGCTTTAAAACTATCAAAACTATTAGCGGCAATCAACTTATGATGATGCATAGGTGGGTAACGTTTAACTCTCGTGTAAAGAAACGAATACTCTATGTTAGGAATATTTCACACCATTTGAAAGGTTATTTATCACATATTTCATATGTTCTCAAATTATACCAACAAACTGCAAAATTAAGGCATATTGTGGCTTTATTTCCGATGTTTTCTGCGAAGGAGCAAAATCGGCGATGTGCTTTTGATATTTGAAAGAATTTAGAGGGTCATTATTCAAATTAGCAGTGAATGATAGTTTATAAGAGTAAGAAGAAGTGTTTCGCTCATTTTAGAACTTAAACTATACTCACAGTAACCAAAAAAACAGAAAAAATGAGCCCATGACAACATTTCTATCAACCAAAGCATGAACATACAGCACACTATATCTGTTTTGCACTGTATGAGACCTCACTGTGTTAAGGGACCGCTCATAATTTGGGGGTGATGATGATTTTTATGGAGAAGCATGTACAATGTGAATGACCCCACCCCTAAAATTTATGTACAAAATAAGTGAACCCCCCTGCATGTCATGAACAAAATCAATGACCCCCTCCCCTTCCCATAATTTCTTAGCGTAATTTTAAACAAAGTGTTATGTACAAACTTGCTGAACACAAACATTCCACATTAAGGTTCTATATCATTTTATTTATCTGTAAACCATTGGCATACAGCCATGCACAATAAGGACTGGGAGCCGGAAACAGCAACTAAGAAGATAATGTCGTACACACACAGAGCTATTTTATGATGTACGCACCCGGGCAGAAACCCTCCATTCAATATATCACAATATATATTGCAATATCTCTTAAATTATTGCAATATATCGCAATATGAGAATCAGGGCTATATCCAGCCCTACTTATTACGCTTCCCTTATTTAGAATGGGCAAGTTGAGTGAGTGAGTTTAAATTTATGTCGCACTCAGCAATAGCTATATGGCGGTGGTCTGTAAATAATCTAGCCTGGACCAGACAATCTAGTGATCAACAGCATGATCATTGATCTATGCAATTGGGATACGATGACATGTGTCAAGTCAGTGAGCCTGACCACCCAATCGCGTTAGTCGCCTCTTACGACAAGCATGGGTTAATGAAGATTAATTCTAACCCGGATTGTGACGGGTCTGGACAAGTTGAGATAAGGGACATGTTCTACCCAGGAATCACCAAAGGGAGATGTAAATAGGTATATTCTGTCCCGTAATCCCCATGGAAAAAGGAGACAGGAGACCTGTTCTGTTCCATAATCACATGAAAAAGGGAATCAGAAGACCTATTCTGTTCAAGAATTCAATGGAAAAGGGAAACAGATGACCTGTTCTTCTCCAGAATCCCCATGGAAAAAGGAATCAGAAGACCTGTTCCACCCCAGAATCCCCATGGAAAAAGGAATCAGAAGACCTGTTCAGTAGCAGTGTCTCCATGGATAGAACAGCAAGGGAGACAGAAGTCTACTCTGTAATCCCTACAGACTGACACAAAGAAAGGTTGTTAGTTGATGGGACTCACGCTGGAACCTGACGGTGGAGATGAGGTTGGTGTGGGCGGGAACGGTGTAGTTACACTTGCGGTGCCGCAGGTCCCACACTTTGGCCGTGTTGTCCTCACTTCCAGAAGCCACGTGGAACCTGGGAAACAATGCAACATGAAATACAATATCAACAGGCTGGTTATATATGGGCACAGTCGTTAGTTCGTTCGTTCGTGAGTGAGTGAGATGGGTTTTACACCGATTTTGGTAATATTCCAGCAATATGATGGTGGGGGACAGCAGAAATGGGTTTCACACATTGTACCCATGTGGGGAATCGAACCCAGGTCTTCACTTGATGAGTGAACGCTTTAACCACTAGGCTACCCCACCGCCCCTCATCCTCGATAATCTCCAGAGTATACATTCAGATAAATCTCCGCTATACCCTAGATGCATCTACGGGTCGAGCCGATGATTTTATTACATCCCTTTGCTGGCTCTGCATTCTCACAGTAGCCAGTCAGATAAGCCACCGTTACAACCGAGCTTGCCAGTGTCAACAAAGATAGCTGTCGCAGGCACGAAAGTTTGTTCGCAGTGCGACTCAGGTTTGGGGGAGAAAACATACAGACAAATTGACAGGTCTGAAACCTTAAAGAGATATATGCAAGAACTCCTTCTACCTCTATTAGAGTACCTCTGCAACAATATATTATTATGTTGCCAAGTTTAATCGGTTAGATAATTTAAAAAGCGAAAGTGAGTTGTGATTGGTACGCTGAACTTCCCAGCGTATACACCCGATTGGATAAAAAGACAACCAAGGGAGGTAATAAAATCATCGGCTCGAGCTGTAGATGCATCCAGGGTGTAGAGGAGATTTATCGGGACGTATACCCTGCAGATTATCGAGGATGACCGCCCCTATGGGCACAGTAGGGCTGGGTAGTAGCAAACATTTTGTACAGGTGTCTGTATTGCTGTATGTATTGCAATATATCGGACACTGATATTACATGCACATCCTGTTTACTACAACCTTAAGTAAATATCACTAAGCTGAGTCAGTCTCTGCCATTTTGTAGTCATGGATGCAGTGGAGATAATAACCTGAATGAAACTTCAATATATATTTCTAATATTCTCTCAATCAATTTCCAGAGAAACTCCATTTGTGAATAAATTTCAGCATTGATTTTACCTCAACATGTACAAGTCATAACAAATGTTGGTATAATAATTTTGCCCTAAAAGCCGGAACACACAAGACATAATCTAATGTGTATCGTTTCAAAAACGTATTGCACTAAACCAATAGTATCACAATTCCTGTTGGACAGTAAGAAAACTGAATTGTAGTTAGACCACAAGATTTACTAATCTGTCACAGCTCAAATGAAACCATTGATTGATATGAACAGCACACTATCAACCAAGTCAGCAAGTCTGACAACCTGATCTATAAGTCTCTTAATGCAAGCACAGGTTGCAAGGGAACACTTGGAACCATGAAGCCCAGCTGGATGGCTCTTGTTGAAAACATAGCTACCTGTTTTTTCAGCTCCTAGACATTCTCTGCCAATGCTGATGACTGCAACATGTTGAAAAGTAACTCACCCATCGGGACTGAAGTCAACGGAGAGGATGGACTTGAGGTGTCCCTCCATGAACATCACACAGCGGCCTGTCCGCAGATCCCACACTCGGCCATACGCATCCAGCCCTCTGGCAACAACAAATACATAGATCACACTTCAGGTACAGTAGCTCACCTATATGCTGTGATAAAAACTTGCTTAACAAGTTAAATACATTGGGCACAGACTATCAGGGACCTATTCTGTACAGAAAACTTACAAGGGTTGGAGTATCAATACAAATCACTTGAAGATTTGCTCAGTCAAGTGTTATCAGAAAGCAAACATTAATCTGTGCAGTTGGGATGCAAAGATATGTATCAATCAAACCACTGGCCACTTGGACCTTAAAGTCTCGTCTTACAACATGGACCCGTGAAGATCCAGGTCAGTAACCCATGTTTGTCGTAAGAGGCGACGAACGGGATCAGGTGGTCAGGCTCGCTGACTTGGTTGACACATGTCATCGTATCCCAACTGCATAGATCAATGCTCATGCTGTTGATCACTGGATTGTCTGGTCCAGGCTCAATTATTTACAGAACGCTGCCATATAGCTGAAATATTGCTGAGTGCGGCGTTTAACAACAAACCAAACCAAACCAAACCAAAACATACCCTGTGACGGCAAGCGCTCCATCGTTTTGGAAGGCGATGGAGTACACCGGTTTACTGTGTCCCTCCTGATGCAGGATCTCCTCCTGCGCTTGCAAGTCCCACAGCCGCCACGAGTTGTCAAAACTGAAACACAACAGGCAGGTTAAGCCTGGGGTTAATAGACTGAGTAGAGCTAGTAAACATTAACATGTTCTCTGGTACCTCGAGGCAGCACATATTTCTGGGAACTTGAGTCAATCACAGCTCAACAGATCTGAACATTAAAATTCTTTGACATGTCTTTGACAAATATCAACAACATATATTCAGAATGGCAAAAATGGCATGTTTGTCGCAGTTTCGTAGTTCTGTTAGTTCACCAGAAAACAGATGCTGCAAACATTAGCAATAACGCCACATTCTAAAAATTAAGATGAGACACATGCAGCCATAATATTGATGTTTTCATGCTATAAACCACTAATTTTGTATGATCCCCAGGGAGTTGAGATTGCTTATACGATGTGCTGTTGAGATTGACATCCAGTGATCTAGGGAAAACCACAGCGCTGAGATGGATATTGGAGCTATACAAATGTTGGTATGTATGTATGTGTATGTATGTAATCTTCATGACAAAGACGTCAATATTTACAAGCAGCAAAAAGCAACATTCATGCACATTTCCTTCCATGAGAGTTAAAAACAGTAAAATCATATTATATATACAGGTACTTTTCAAAATGCAAGAAACGGGTGTTCATTCTTGAAAACCACCACCCTTACCAGCATGTCCCGAGGAATCGTCCTGAAGGGTGGTAAGCCAGTTTCGACACTCGGAATGGTGCATGACCTTCAATGTCTGCAATAGGTTCATCACTGAAAGAAAAACAATGTACCTAATAAGCATGTTATGAAGGAGTTAAATTGTTCCGCTTAAGTTATTACATTCCGCTTACCATTCCCACTTTTTAATTATAAGTTCATGTTTTATAAGAATACAAGATTGCAGCCTCCATGTAACCCACTGTTGCCATGTGGTCTGAAAATAACCCCTTGGAACATCCAACAGACACTTCTTTTCAAAGCATACATACAGGTGTAACAATCCCTTATGGCTTGATCTTCTAATAAAGTTGCTGAGCATGACCATTGTATCAGATTGTTGTTTGTTATGATGAGCAAGGGTTGGTGAAGACCATTTCTACCCTGCATCTTCACGGTTGTCACAGTTGTTTACCACTTTCTTGAAATCCTGGGTCATAAGTGATGAGAACCAAGGATAACACATTTGACTTATCTGTCATTTGAAGCATGATGAGCAGATCCTTTTCAGCTAAGGGAGACAACTTGAACTGGGGTGTTCAAGCATGCTTGATAAGGACAGTTAAAGATATACAGAACAAACCTGACTAGATTCCAGAGCTTGACGGAACCATCCTGTCCACATGATGCCATACAGCATACACTGTTGTCTAGACCGATTGTAGCGTCAGGGTGGAATACAATGGCACCAACATGACAGTTGTGGCCTGAAAACCATAGAACAATTTCAATGAACAAAAAGAATTTTCTGGATTTCATCTTCTTTTTATTCTTTGATACTTTCATCTTCTTTTTATTCTTTGATACTTTCATCTTCGTTTATTCTTTGATACTTTCATCTTCTTTTTATTCTTTGATACTTTCATCTTCTTTTATTCTTTGATACTTTCATCTTCTTTTTAGACTTTGATACTTTCATCTTCTTTTCAGTCTTTGATACAAATCCAGGAAATTCTTTATGTTCATCAAATAGCATCTACTAAAATGCGAATCAAGCATCTAACGATTTCCTTGTTTATCAAATATTCAAACTGTTAACCTTATTAACCAGTAGATGTCACATCTATCAATAAAAACATGATCAGACTTATAAAGTAACAGTTAAGCAATTCCATGGTTTATGCAAAACTGTTTTCCACACACTGACAAAAATACAGTCAGACCCTGTTGTATGAAACTCTGACGGGTCGTATCCCCTGTTACGTCAAACTCACAGTTTGATCAGAGTTTGATCTCACTTTCCTCTCAAAAAAATTGAACTTGAATGTTTTTATTTCATATCACAAACCTTCTCTTTGTGCTAACATGAAGGAATATAGTGCATTTGCTTTCTGACTGCCAAGTCAAATAATGACATGTTCAAATAAGATGTGTCAAACCCTGAGTAAGTCAAACCCTGATAAGTCCAACTATTTCTCTGGTCCTCTAGACATCAACACAACAGGTTTTAACTGTCTATAAAGCAGCACTTGAACTTTCAGCGTATAGTTTCAAAGTAATTTTAATGAAAACTGCTATATGGACAATTAGACACTTGACGTAGGACGTACCTCGCAGCTGTCGAATCAACTGGCAGTCTGGAATGGACCATAGTTTACACAACCCAGACCTGAAATACAGCAAACATACTTCATCATCATCCAAGAAAGCTGACACTTAACTATCTCCTATAAAAAATCACATCTAAACTATTTCCGACGAACGGTCTAAATTTACAGCTAGCCAGCCCAATGGTCTGGTAAATTTTTGTAGATGTTCCATACATCTGAGTAAATTCACCATATTTGGTCTGGTTAAATCCATTTTGGGCTGGTAACATTTTGAAGTGAGGGACCGTTCATAATTTATGGCTAGGGGGGTCACCCATTTGATTCTGGGAAGGTGGGGGTGGGGGTGGTTTCAGGAATACTACAGGGAGGGTTTCAGCAATTTTGTACATAAAAATATTTAAAAATTATGCTTAAAAATTACGGGGGGTGGGGGGGGGTGTCCACTGATTTTGTACATGACATGCAGGGTGGGGTCACGTACTTTGTACATAACATTAAGGGGGGTTCATTCACACTGTACATGCTTCTCCATAAAAATCATTATCTCTCCCACCCCCACCTCCCAGCAATACATTATGAACGTATAACCAGCCCTGATGTCTGGCTTTATTTTTGGCTTATTTCATACACTGTTATATCATGGCCTCAAGTTCACATGGGAGGTTATGTACTGATGCAGGTCCTAGAAGTTCACCAGTTTTGTCAAAACCCCACACAAGGATATGGTGCTGACGAACCTTGAAACATAACCTGTGCAAACCAGGATTCCAGCCCACAATCACAGGTTCCCAACCTGCACAAGGGCAGAGGTACAGATAAGCTGCATAAATTACGCGAACACTTACCGGTATGTGAAAACTCAATTCTTACCACGTCTGTTGCGTACAAGTACGCTTGAATTTTTGTAAATACTCAATATATTTGATCTTACATGCCTACACACAAAAACGTCAAATCTTTGTTTGCGTACTGGCGGATAGATAAAATAACTGAGGTATATTCAGAGGTTCTATTTCAACACAAGAACTTGGCAACTTGCAGTCTTTCTTATAGTTTCTCATATTACATATCCAACATAAATAACGTTTAAACATAATATTTTTACAATTTATGGAAAATGACAAAATACCCAAATGAGTTTGAGTGAGGTGGGTACAATTTATTTGGTTACTCAAAGGAAATTAGGATACCCAATTGAGATGAGCACAAGCTAGTACATAACGCAATGACCCAAAAAATTATCTGTAGCTCTGCAAGGGACATAACTCTGCACTGTGAATTACAGTGCCTTGTATGACTGGTCCACCAGTGGCCCCAAAAAGAACCCTGGGGACAAGTTGGTGTCTGTCTCTACAAGCATAACTCCAGCTACATCACAACAGGGGATGCCTTGGAGGGGTTCGTTTTACCCTTGTCAGGAGATGAACCCATGCTTGGATGATGAACACCAGTTTTAAGCATGACTAGCTCATAACCTCTAGCATGCACTTTGACCCATACAAACTGTTTAAAAAAAATTAATTTCAGGCAAAAAAAGTATAGTTAGTCTGAAAGTATATTGTCTGAATTATGTCAAATCTGTATATTTAACACCAATGATTTCTGCTTGTCTGCGATGTATATCATTGTAAGGTTTATTATGTAAATTATTGTAACGTCTCAACGAATAACACTGTAAAAGTTATAAATCAGATTATCTAAACACAAATGTACAAGTTGAAGAACGCTACCACGAGGCGACTGCAAGCATCTGGGAGTCTGGGCTGAACTGACAGTGGGACAGCGGTCGGTCATCACCGATCTGACTGCAGTCATTCGTTACAGACTGGAAGGAAGAGGAGATTTCAATGAGAAGACATACCAGGCGAGTGAAAGGGTTAGTGAGCCAGCATGTTATTACGCTGCTTTTGGCAATATTCCAGCAATATTCACAGCAGGGGACCCCAGAAATGGGCTTCACACATTGTACCCATGTGGGGAATCGAACCCCGGTCTTCAGCATGACGAACCAACGCTTAAACCGCTCGGCTACGCCATCACCCCTCATACCAGAGGTCAAACATTCGAGTTTGTGAGTGTGAACATTCCAACAACTCGCTATCAACACCAATTTCAGAGTTGTCAAACTTATGTCGAGAAATAGGATCGGTCTCTATTTTCACCAACTTTTCCATCAAACTTTTGATGTTGTCAAACTCGAGTTTGTCGTGTGAAGCGTTGTCAAACTTGAGTTGTTCAGAAACAACCAATCACAGTCAACGAAATTATCATGTGACCGCACCGATAGCGACATGGCCCTCAAATAACACAAAAATTGACAACATGTGTTTGACGTTTGTGAAAACGCGAGTTTGACAACTTTATAATTTTAACAACATGTGTTGTCAAACTTAAGATTGCTGTGTGAAGGTCGCTTTACATGAATAATGTGAATATTGTCCCAACAGCCATCAACCATGGCCAATAAACATACCTGCCTCGTGCTTGACCTGTACCACTTATTGGTTAATTTATCTGTGCCACTTATTTTTTTTATTGATATATTTATCTATGCCTCTTGTTAATCTTATTAAGTGTGCCACATGTTAATCTTTATATCTGTACCACTTATTGATTTATTCATCTGTGCCACTAACTGCTCTTTTTATCTGTACCACATTGATTTATACATCTGTGTCACTTATAGATATTGATCTGCATCACTTATTGATTTATTCATCTGTGTCACTTATAGATATTGATCTGTACCACTTATTGATTTATTTATCGGTGACACTTATAGACATTGATAAGTACCACTTATTGATTTATTAATCTGTGTCACTTATAGATATTGATAAGTACCACTTATTGATTTATTAATCTGTGTCACTTATAGATATTGATCTGCATCACTTATTGATTTATTAATCTGTGTCACTTATAGATATTGATCTGCATCACTTATTGATTTATTAATCTGTGTCACTTATAGATATTGATCTGCATCACTTATTGATTTATTAATCTGTGTCACTTATAGATATTGATCTGCATCACTTATTGATTTATTAATCTGTGTCACTTATAGATATTGATCTGTACCACCTATTGATTTATTAATCTGTGTCACTTATAGATATTGATCTGCATCACTTATTGATTTATTCATCTGTGTCACTTATAGATATTGATCTGTATCACTTATTGATTTATTTATCTGTGACACTTATAGATATTGATCTGTACCACTTATTGATTTATTAATCTGTGTCACTTATAGATATTGATCTGTACTACTTATTGATTTATTCATCTGTGTCACTTATAGATATTGATCTGTACTACTTATTGATTTATTCATCTGTGTCACTTATAGATATTGATCTGTACTACTTATTAATTTATTTATCGGTGACACTTATAGATATTGATCTGCATCACTTATTGATTTATTAATCTGTGTCACTTATAGATATTGATCTGCATCACTTATTGATTTATTAATCTGTGTCACTTATAGATATTGATCTGTACCACTTATTGATTTATTAATCTGTGTCACTTATAGATATTGATCTGCATCACTTATTGATTTATTCATCTGTGTCACTTATAGATATTGATCTGTATCACTTATTGATTTATTCATCTGTGACACTTATAGATATTGATCTGTACTACTTATTGATTTATTAATGTGTCACTTATAGATATTGATCTGCATCACTTATTGATTTAATCATCTGTGTCCCTTATAAATATTGATCTGTACCACTTATTGACTTATTTATCTGACACTTATAGATATTGATCTGTACCACTTATTAATTTATTTATCGGTGACACTTATAGATATTGATCTGTACCACTTATTGATTTATTAATGTGTCACTTATAGATATTGATCTGCATCACTTATTGATTTATTTATCTGTGACACTTATAGACATTGATCTGTACCACTTATTGATTTATTAATCTGTGTCACATATAGATATTGATCTGTACCACTTATTGATTTATTAATCTGTGTCCCTTATAGATATTGATCTGTACCACTTATTGATTTATTAATCTGTGTCACATATAGATATTGATCTGTACCACTTATTGATTTATTCATCTGTGTCACTTATAGATATTGATCTGTACCACTTATTGATTTATTCATCTGTGTCACTTATAGATATTGATATGTACCACTTATTGATTTATTTATCTGTGTCACCTATAGATATTGATATGTACCACTTATTGATTTATTAATATGTGGCACTTATAGATATTGATCTGTACCACTTATTGATTTATTTATGTGTCACTTATAGATATTGATCTGCATCACTTATTGATTTATTTATCTGTGACACTTATAGATATTGATCTGCACCACATATTGATTAATTAATCTGTGTTACTTATAGATATTGATCTGTACCACTTATTGATTTATTTATCTGTGTCACTTATAGATATTGATAAGTACCACTTATTGATTTATTTATCAGTGACACTTATAGATATTGATCTGTACCACTTATTGATTTATTAATCTGTGTCACTTATAGATATTGATCTGTACTACTTATTGATTTATTCATCTGTGTCACTTATAGATATTGATCTGTACCACTTTATTAATTTATTTATCGGTGACACTTATAGATATTGATCTGTACCACTTATTGATTTATTAATGTGTCACTTATAGATATTGATCTGCTTCACTTATAGATTTATTCATCTGTGTCACTTATAGATATTGATCTGTATCACATATTGATTGCTTTATCTGACACTTATAGATATTGATCTGTACCACTTATTGATTTATTCATCTGTGTCACTAATAGATATTGATCTGTACCACTTATTGATTTATTTATCTGTGTCACTTATAGACATTGATATGTACCACTTATTGATTTATTAATCTGTGTCACCTATAGATATTGATCTGTACCACTTATTGATTTATTTATCGGTGACACTTATAGATATTGATCTGTACCACTTATTGATTTATTCATCTGTGTCCCTTATAGATATTGATCTGTACCACTTATTGATTTATTAATCTGTGTCACTTATAGATATTGATCTGTACCACTGATTGATTTATTCATCTGTCACCTATAGATATTGATCTGTACCACTTATTGATTTATTTATCTGTGTCACATATAGATATTGATCTGTACCACTTATTGATTTATTAATCTGTGTCACTTGAAGATATTGATCTGTACCACTTATTGATTTATTAATCTGTGTCACTTGAAGATATTGATCTGTACCACTTATTGATTTATTAATATGTGGCACTTATAGATATTGATCTGTACCACTTATTGATTTATTCATCTGTGTCACTTGAAGATATTGATCTGTACCACTTATTGATTTATTAATCTGTGTCACTTGAAGATATTGATCTGTACCACTTATTGATTTATTAATATGTGGCACTTATAGATATTGATCTGTACCACTTATTGATTTATTCATCTGTGTCACTTGTAGATATTGATCTGTACCACTTATTGATTTATTCATCTGTGTCACTTGTAGATATTGATCTGTACCACTTATTGATTTATTCATCTGTGTCACTTATAGATATTGATCTGTACCACTTATTGATTTATTCATCTGTGTCACTTGTAGATATTGATCTGTACCACTTATTGATTTATTCATCTGTGTCACTTGCAGATATTGATCTGTACCACTTATTGATTTATTCATCTGTGTCACTTATAGATATTGATCTGTACCACTTATTGATTTATTCATCTGTGTCACTTGTAGATATTGATCTGTACCACTTATTGATTTATTCATGTGTCACTTGTAGATATTGATCTGTACCACTTATTGATTTATTCATCTGTGTCACTAATAGATATTGATCTGTACCACTTATTGATTTATTCATCTGTGTCACTTGTAGATATTGATCTGTACCACTTATTGATTTATTCATCTGTGTCACTTGTAGATATTGATCTGTACCACTTATTGATTTATTCATCTGTGTCACTAATAGATATTGATCTGTACCACTTATTGATTTATTTATCTGTGTCACTTATAGACATTGATATGTACCACTTATTGATTTATTAATCTGTGTCACCTATAGATATTGATCTGTACCACTTATTGATTTATTTATCGGTGACACTTATAGATATTGATCTGTACCACTTATTGATTTATTCATCTGTGTCCCTTATAGATATTGATCTGTACCACTTATTGATTTATTAATCTGTGTCACTTATAGATATTGATCTGTACCACTGATTGATTTATTCATCTGTCACCTATAGATATTGATCTGTACCACTTATTGATTTATTTATCTGTGTCACATATAGATATTGATCTGTACCACTTATTGATTTATTAATCTGTGTCACTTGAAGATATTGATCTGTACCACTTATTGATTTATTAATCTGTGTCACTTGAAGATATTGATCTGTACCACTTATTGATTTATTAATATGTGTCACTTATAGATATTGATAAGTACCACTTATTGATTTATTTATCGGTGACACTTATAGATATTGATAAGTACCACTTATTGATTTATTAATCTGTGTCCCTTATAGATATTGATCTGTACCACTTATTGATTTATTAATCTGTGTCACATATAGATATTGATCTGTACCACTTATTGATTTATTCATCTGTGTCACTTATAGATATTGATCTGTACCACTTATTAATTTATTTGTGACACTTATAGATATTGATCTGTACTACTTATTGATTTATTTATCTGTGTCACTTATAGATATTGATCTGTACCACTTATTAATTTATTTA